ATATATATTAAACACCCTGAAATTCACAGTCTAGAACAGATGTTCGACAGTTGCTAGCCATAAATGTAGGTGTAGCAGCGCCGTCTACTCATTGGCGTGCTTTTATTATCTGATCTGCGTACTTGCCTTGCATGCTGTTTACATGTGTTTCCTATCTAATCGGACAATCTATTGATTCACTTTCATTAATTTCCATTTGCTCGTGCCCCCAGACTCAGGTCGGCATCTACAACGGAGTCTCGCTTAGCCTCGTCTTTGTGCCCTGCATTGTGGCTTTCATCTTTCTTCACGTGACGATTGCGCAGCAGCTGTGGCAGCGCCGCCATCAGCTGCGCAGCTTGAAAAGGCAGCAGCAGCAGTCGATGTGGCTTGACTACCCACTGGGTAACCGGGAGACCGCCTACGCCGTAATGAGCGCCTTCAGCGTGGCAGCCTGCGTTCACACGAGCGCCGCGCAGATGACGCAGCAGCCGCAGCAAGAGAGAAAGATGACTCCTGCGGCTGTGGCACGTGTGGCGCGGCATCGTCGCATGGTGAAGGTCGTGCTGCTAATGATGGGCGCCTTCATCTGCCTGCGCCTGCCCGCCTGGATCTTCCTGATGATGCGCGTGTACGGGTCGTTCTCCTCGCCCTTGTCCTGGCTGTTCTACTTCAGCTTCGGGCTGCTCAATTTGACCAGCTGCGCCCTGAATCCGCTCTTCTACACCTTTCTGCCCCAGACGCTTCGAGTGCTGTCGCAGCTCAAGCTCATGCTCTGCTGGCTACTCTGCTGCGGACGTGCCGCAAACTTGGAGTCGGACGCTCCCATGCCCAGCGAGGCGCCAGAGCAGGCGGCTCGTGGTCTTTGCTTTGGCCTCCACGTCACCTGGCGCTGCCAACTGAAGTTGAGGACGCAGCAGACGGTACCCGCAGCCAAAGAGCCAGTCTCTATCATAGAGCTGCCATCCATTGCCAGCAGCAGCCTCTCTAAGGAAGTCTTCAAGGACCTCAGCATCTCCCATGGGCTCTCGCTTCCATCGCCAGTGTCCATAAAATCTCTAGGCTGAGGCGTCATCAATCAAATGTGGCCTGATGGTAATGGTGTATTGATTAATTTACATATTTGATTTTACATATATGAGGCCAGGCAATGAACTGTTGCTGACAGCTCGAAGGGTGCCAGAGATCATTCATTCTGCTGATATGCCTTAACGCAAGCTCGTACTTCGGCAATTGTAATAAATTTTAAATAAAGCTACTGATACAGCACTTGAAGTGCACGTATTTTCAATGTGAGGGGCTCAATATGAGGGGTAAACTGTGTTACATATATTGTATGATGCTAACAGCTTTAATTCTTGGAAAATTTATTTATTTAAATAATATAAACATAATTATTCTAGCTCAAGCTAACCATGTCATCAAAATTGATATTTTACAAAATCTTGTATATAATCTTTTCACTTAGTGAATGAGTATATATTGAGTAAAATTGAATTCATATATTCCATGCACATAATATATGAAAATAGCTCTTGCATATTATTAAATTTATATATTACAATAAATAAATAGAATTATTTGTAGAACCCTTATGTCACCCCATACACGTCTCAAGAATATGTATATCTTAGCTCTGACAAATTATGCTTCCCAATTAATCTAATTGAGTTTGCAAACAAGTGCAATATTGAACTATTGAATATCTATTCTAGATGAAAGTAAGTTGCACAAATAGCAAAAGTTAAATAAAGAGTTACTTTTAGAAACAAATTTAACTCAGTTTGGTTGTGACTCTGTATTTTGTCTCAGCCAAATTATATTCCCAATATAACTGATTAATTAATATAATTGTACGTGCATATACATCTCCATTTAATACGATTTCCGTTTTAGAACAATGCGGCTCTGGGTTTGTTTCTAGATAACATCACTCTAATTAATGTCAAAAAGCGAACACAAGCTGCAAAACGATCTATCACGCTCCTATTGTGAATTCAATGCAAGAGCATAACAAAAGCTCGCGCTCTCTCTTGGTCTTGCTCTCTCTTTCTTTCTCTCTCTCACTCTCTCTGTTGGTCGCTGTGAACAGCTGCTTGTGCTGCTCGCAAGCTCGACTCAAAAGCTGCATCAGTTCTCTTGCTCAGTTGTTGATGGCGTCTCGGGTTGAGCAGTTGGTACGAATCTTTGGCGCGCTTAGACCGTTGACAGATAAAAGGCAGCCAGTCGGGTGAAATCAACGACGACGACAACAATAGCAATAATAATAACAACAACAACGGTGAACTTGCCGTGTCTTCTTTAATCGGTGTTCATCGTTCGCTATTTGAATGCATGCTAAAAGTGTACGAAAATTAGTGAGAAAATAGTATAATAAATAATACAAAATCAAACAAAGCGAAATGTAAATGAGAATAAATAGGGCCAGACGACAAAAGAGATTCGCGTATTATGGCACACACCAGTTTATAAATACCCAAGAGGGGGCTAACCAAGGAAAGAAAAACAAAGGAAGAAAAACAAAGCCTGAGGAACGAGAACGAGAACGAAAAGCGACGAAAGCTCRCGGCATTCAATTATCAAATTGAATTCAATTCAATTTGTGTCAGGTAAAATACCCAATTCAAGTAAGCCACTTCTGCAAGCGTGAACCCCAATCAAAGCACAAACCAGTTGCGTTTGATTCACATTTTGTCAGTGCAACAAAATAAAACATGGTCCGAATAAGTAAAAACAAAAAATCAAAAAAGAAGTAATAAAACCAAAACACGTTCCCGCGTTTCACTTGGCCAATGCCTGCCGACCCAGCCACACGCATGCGCAGCTGTCGTGCCGAAACTTTTTAGCGCTGGCGACGCCTTGCAAAATCTGAATTACGGTATGCCGACGTCGACGTCGACGGCGACGGCGATGTTAACAGCGGCAGAGGCACTGGCGTCGCGAAGCTATGGTAGCTGCTGCTGCAACTGTTTCACTTTTCTTCTTTGGCTGTCAAACAACCGTATTGTTTGGCTTGACATTCTAAAGCTTCCTCGCGCCCTCTCGCTCTCACTCGCACGGTACTCTGCCAGCCAAGTGCCGTTTGTCATGCAGCGTACAAAGCGTACGCAAGACGTCTTCGGGCCTGGTTACGCAGCGCTTTCATTTGTTTTAGCCGCCTTTGGCATTTCGGTCAGTTGCCGTCTGTCTCTCGATTTATTTTCTGTTTTCATTTTTCCGTTTCTGTTTCTCTTTCTATATCAGCCGTGTGTTACTTCTCTTTCAGTGGCCGCCTGCATAATTAGCTGATGCTAACTGAAATCAACTATATCAGAAACGATTACAGTCGACAGCTACTGACTGCATAATACTCCTTCAAGACACGTTTGAATATACGTCGAGAAGGAGTTTGCACTAACTCAACCATCCGATTTTTTAAAGAATCGGCCACCCAAACGAAATTTCAACAATCTATAAACGAAGGGGTATTTTTAAGCTAATAACTAGAAAATCGTGAAAGCTATACACTTGTAAGGCTTTCCACGTCCTCTATGCTTTACATATTTTTATAGGAACAAAAGCCCATATATATTCTTACTGTATATTATTGGAAATTCTTACTGTATATTGCGGAAAAGTATATAACAGGCAGAAGGAAGCATCGCAGACCCCATATATTCCAGATCGGGACGACAAGCTGAGCCGATATAGCCCTGTCCGTCTGTCTGTCCGTCCGTACGTCCGTACGTTTGTCCGTATGAGCAAGCCGACCTCAAAAGATATACGAGTTAGAGAGCTGAAGTTTTTTAAATTTACCTTATTTTTTCGATAACTCATCCGATAACGTTTTTATCGAGAATAAGCGATAAATTGATTTTGGTTTCTCAGCTTTTGGCTGTGTTGTTTCAATATAAATACTATTAGAGCTAGAGACTTAACAATTACTGCGTATATACATTTGATGAATACGAAGATTTTGTATTTACAGAATTCCCTTCGCTCCCAATTTGTATTTCAAGTACTACAGACTTGTGCTTCGGAATATACATACATTTGAATATCATGATCACGCTCTAAAAGTTTCATAAAGATAGTCCCACTACAGGAGAAACTATTCAACAAGTAAATTCTCATAGTATTGCCCGCACTGCAGACCAGCGCGGGCTTATGCGTGCGTGTAGATGCATGTGTTTGTATTTTTGCATAGAAGAAGTGCAGAATGATTAGAGGGTTTAGGGTATCTTCTGGTCGAGCATTCTTGCTTGTTTTTATACTGTAAATTGCAGAGTGTAGACTATAGATTGTAGAGTATAAAGTCTACAATACGTGAGTCAAATATCAAATATATAAAGAATGTCTGATGGGGACTAATGCTATTACGTCTGTGTACTCTTAAATAAAAACTTTAAGCCTGAATAGTTTAACCTCATTATACGAGCCACTTACAAGTTTTTATGCATTACTGACACGTTACACTGTTGGACTCTTACATCTTTAATAAGCTTATTAGATTCATAGGTGAGAATTCAAATTAAATATTAGAGATGCTTTTTTAAATAATCTATCACTTATATATATTTTTTTACACAACTGGGCTGAGTTGTGAGTTTCAATTATCAATTATCTGCTGCGACTTTTAAAATATAACACTTTTTTCTGTTTAAATAAATGCGGGAGGTTTTTTTTTGTAATTTCAAACAAAACTAAAATAAATATGTATTAAACAACTTTATTTCTTTGCGATTTCCGAATAAGTTGAGAATTATTATATTAATATATTTTTGTTTAGAATTACTAGATTAACCTTTTTTGGTATACAAATAACATTTTGAACATTTGAACAATATAATAGGGATAACTCAATAATTTTAAATTTTTACGCTCATAAATATATAAATATACATTTATATTTTTTCGGTAGAATTCTTAATGTACATCAATAACCTTCTTTTGTGGGATGTTTACTTTTGTCGATCTGAATACGAATATCATAAGTATGTATGTATSTGATTTCATAATATGTGAAAATAAAATTAATGTTAGAGAATGCATTTCTAGTTAAGGAGAGGCACATTATGCTGAGCATCCCCCACACCACGGAAATCACTTTCCTTTTCACTGGCTCTTCATAATTATAAACCAAGAAAATGCTTTGACAAGCAGCGTGACGACTGCACCGTTATTTAATAGCAACAAAACAAAAGTAAAAACAAAAACAAAAATAATAATAATGATGATAAGACGGCTGCATAATCGAGAGAGTCTGGCACTGGGTTATATAGGTATTTAGCACATTTCTCCAAAACATATTTTGGAAAGAAAAAATGTATTTATATATATGTGTATATAATTTCTGAAGAAAGTGAAAGTTTTTGGTGTTGGCTTCTTTTTATGGGGCGCGCAAGTTATTTGATAGCGTTGCGGCCTTTTAGAGGGTCTTTGTGGGCTCAATGGGATTTTTGTGAGTAATTGCCTGAGCTTCAAAGTCGAGTACTTTGAATTAATAATGAAAATCTGAAGACAAAGAGGGGAATGCAAACGGTTAGGGAGCAAGAGTTGGAGAGGAACGGAACCAACCTTAATACACATTTGTCAGAGGTTTGCCCTGCTAAAGAAACTCTTTGAACTGGAGGCCATAACCTTACTCAAAAAAATATATTCAAAGTTCAAACTGGTTTTATATATATATTGATGCTTTTGTTTGTGGAAATCTTACGTTTTTCACGGAGCCCACTGAACTTGGCTTTGTATTTAGCTTTGTTTTGCCGCAGACACTTTCGATTTTCGCATAAATCGAAATCACAACATGAACAGCAAAACACAGTTTACAATTTGCAACAATAACAGATACGGTTCATTTTCTTTTCAGCCCGCTGTTGTTGTTCATCTTGTGATTTTCCTCTTTTTCTCTGCCGGCAAACCCTACTTACTTATTTATTTCTCAATACACGCCATCTCGTTGACGATTTCACTGCGAGTCTGCGTGCCTCAGAGTCTACGAGTCTCCGTCTGTGAAGGGGCCAATGTACTGGCGTATCTCTTTTCCCTCTTTAAAACACCATCCCGCCTCCCTCCCCCTTTCTCTTTCTGTGTCTGTGTCCAGTCCGTTAGGCATAACGCAACTGCGATGAGCAACCAATTAGCAATTACCATGCGAGCTGCGCAAATGCTGCGCGGCATTGAGCAGCGCGCCAACCATCAACACCCGCTGCTAGCCCCAGTCGACCGGGCCCCACGATGGCCCCACTTTATCGGTGACTACATTGAATTTATGCATAATGGGCACACACAAACGGTCTTAAGGTTAACCGCCAGATGCCAAAACAAACGAATCCCATACTTCATATACATATATATGTAAATACACTTTATACATTTGTATATTTGTATAT